CCATCCCCGCCTCAGCCCGGCGCTCGGGGCCGCTCCCGAGCCGTGCGGGGCGGCCGCCTCATTGGCTGCCCTTTGTTTGATTTTGTGATGCGTTCGCTGTCAAAATGGGTTTTGACACAACCAGGAACTAAGTAGCTGAAATTCCTGGTTGTGAAGGCGGGCACGCACGCGGGCGCGTGAAATTTGTCTCGAGGTAACGATTCTCAGGAGTGTGCTGGCCTTCGTTAGCGTGGGGAAATCCGCTGATGGGGTTGGTGCTTTTCAGGATTGACGGTGAACTCCTGGGCCTTGGGTGAGCATCCGTGGAAAAAACTGGCCTCCAGCTCCTAAACCACGTCCCTCCCCTGGGGCAAGACGTGGGAGAGGCAGCAGGGCTGGGAGCACGGTGTGGTGGTTCTGGAGGGGGACGAGGCAGTAGGAAGGCACGAGTTGTGTTGTTGCCTGTGGTGTTCAGAGGTTGAGATCACCTGTGCAGCCATAAGAATCTGGGTCTTCGGGTGGAAACACAGTAGTGTTCCCTGTGCAGATGGGTAACTGCCGTGTTTAGATGAGTTTAGAGGGATGGGTAATCAGTTGCAAACTGAGACTTGCAGGCGTGTTCCTCCTTCTTCAGCAGTGAGTTTGATGTTCATGCCTAGGTAGCCCCCAAATTTAAACTTAAGTTTCAGTTTTCATGCGTACCGTGATTTAGTACTGCTTGTGTCTCAGATATTTCCTGCTTTGTGTCTTGAATACTGTATCATCTTGAGATGAAATCTGAAGCAGATCTGATGGATCTATTGACAAGCCATTAAGGTTCAACTGATGAAGGAGGTTGACCCTTGAGAAAAAAAAAAGAAACCAAAACCACTTTGCAGAAGTGGGGGGAGGCCCCTTGGAGGGCTCCAGTACCAGGAGTGGTGCCTGGTGATAATTGGCAAGCAAAGGCCAGGGCTTTCCTTCTCACCCTGAATCCTCCACGATTAATGGATTGCTGTTCTTTGTGTGAAAGGTGAAATCGAGGGCTTCACATTTCTGCTCTTTGGAGATGCTGTGGCAATTTCTGTAAGGCTTCTTGGAGAGGAGGAAAGGTGTTCCTCACCCTCATGCTTCCCTAAAAGCAGTCCCACAGAAGCAGCTGTGTCAAAATAGGTTGTCGCTATAGGATAGATCTGGGTTAAGAAGATCCCACTGGATCTAAAGATTTCACTTTAGAAATAATTCAGATTGCTCAAGAATCCTTTCTGCTTTTCTAAAAGATACAGATTCAGCATCAGATTAAAAAAACATACAGAGGGTGGCTATTATTGGGTAAGCAACACTCCTAGGTGTAGCCAGTGTTTGCAGGATGCTTTTCACTGGACACAGCACGTTGCACACCCTCAGCTGGCACAGGTAACCTGTGTTCTCTCTCCTTGGTGTAACTGCTGCTTGCAGGGATTTCTTCTGTGTTGCTCCTGTTCTATGGAGTTCTTATATTCACAAGTATTAATGATTGACATAATGAGAGGGCTTTCCCAAAATCTCCAAAATTTTGAGTGTGTGGAGGGAGTTTTCCACCTTATAGAAACTGTCAAATTTTTCTTGTCACTACATCTGGTGACAATTACTTCGTTGAAGCCTAAAACAGAAAATTGAGGTGAAGAATAACAGTGCTAATCAATGATGAACCTATTAATAAGAAGTTCAAGGTGTTGGACGTTGCCATCTGGTACAAGGGAGTAATTTGTCTTTTTACTAGGTGGGGAGGGTATTTTGTACAAAAATGACTTTGATTAAGCAAGGATACTGTTGACTGAGCAATGTATTTGCAAGAGCTCCTGAGGTACTGGGGGATCATTAGGAAGTTACTGTAAACCCTGCTGCTTTCACGTGTTGGCAGAAGAAGGGGTGAATTCAGATTATCTCCCATCATATTAAAAAAAGGTTTTGTGCCCTCAGAGTTGTAGATCTTGCCCACCAGAGCTTGTAACCTGCTGGTGTAGTGCTGTGCCTCAGGGAAAGCAAAAGGCACCTTTAAAATAAACCAAACAAACCAAAAACCCACCACCAATAACCTAAACCAACCCCCAAACCAAAAAAGGGCGGTGATGGAGTGACAGGAAGAATCTGTATTTGAACTCTTAAGTTCTGGAGCAAGTAAAGGTCTGGTGTTGAGGTTTCTCTTACATTTTCATTGTTGAAATGCTTTGAACCACCACCTTTTTTTTTTTTTTTCTCTGTTTTGGTTGCTGTGGTAAAAGACAAGGAAGTATTTCTCACCACACTGACAGAAACCACAAAAGATTTCAGTTTCCAGTTTTTCCCCTGCTTAGGGTGCACCTTTGTGTTTGAGATGGAGATAGTTTGCTTCATATTGATATTGTCTACAGTGTTAATTTCTGGCTGTGCTGACATGATTTCTGTCACTTCTTGCTGTTCATTTCAAATGTTCTGCTTCTAGTTAGGTGCTTGTTGCTTTTATCTGAGCATTTTTATTTGTTTGCTTTTTAGCCTACCAAGATAAAATGAGTAACTGAGTATCTACATGCGAGTGGTAATTGTGTATTGGGATGAATGCGATCCTGTCTGAATCCATCTCTCCCCTGGTGTGAGGAGGCTCTGGTGGTGCCTGTGTGGAGAACCAAGGCTTTGCTAGTGTTTTAACCACAGGTCAAAAGGATTTGTATCACTGACATGATATATTTTGAGTTTTTTGGTCTTGATAGTCAGGTGAGCTGTGCTGCTGTGTTAGAGAGGTGCGGGGTTTTTATCAATATCCTGCATAATGATAGTGGATTTTAGAAGATTGAATAAAAGCACTCCACAGAAATGTAGCGGTGTCCATTTAAGCTGATAAAGTGTGGAGGTAGCTCATCCCAAGTAAGACCCGGCCTGTGTGTCCCCTCCACAAAGGACTGTGTGCACGGGGCAGATGTCACTGGGGATGTCCCAGTTGAATTGTGAATTTAGCAAGGCTCTGGAACTGCGTGGACGCCGTCCGATGGTGTTTTTCTCTCCTACTCACTCTGTTATAAAGTTCCCACTGTCCTTTGGTATCATCTGGTGGCCTTCACATGCTGAATGACACTCCTTTGGGGCCATAAATGTAGGAGTGGAAGGACCTGCCCGGGTGACGGTGCAGGAAGCCGGCGCTGGAAGGGCTGCCCTGTGCCGTGTCCTGCCCTCCCATCTGCTCCGGGGCCTGCCAGTAAAACCTGCAAGAGAAGGAAGAGAAGGAAGCAGTGGCCTTGCTGAGCAGGCTGCAGCCCGTGGGGACCCAGGCACGGCACCGACAGCTGGGAGCAGTGGCCTACTCTGCTCTCCCTGCCAGACGCCATTTTTAACTCCCTCAGATCCAGAGCAGGATCGCAGCAATGCTGCCACAACCGGGGCTCTGGGCTCAGCCCTGAGGAACAAACCTCTGCACAGTAGTTTGGGATACAAGGCAGATGTGCTGCCTGGGTTGTTCATGTCAGATGGATAAACAAAGAGTTTCTTGAGCTCCGTTCTCCTTTAGAGTTGATTTATTTTTTTCCCATTGTGTTAGACTCTTTCCTGTGAAAAGACACATCGTGTATAGGGCAAAGAGCATTTTGTGCCAAATCAGAGCAAAAGAGAATTCTCTGTTTACTGGGCTTCTCCTGGCCACTCACTGCTGTCTGGGTCTGTAGCACTTTCCTGGCTTGAGAGTGTGTCCAGGCCCTTCCTGGCTGGTTGTAGCATCTTGCTGGAGTATCTGGGAATAGGTCAGGTGTGACGGGCAAGGGCCTCTTGACGCAGGACGTGTGGGAGTGGCTGTAACGTGAGATTTGGAATAAGTACCAGAGCTACTTTTGAAGGCTGCTGTAAAGGACAAGGTGTCTTCCTTCCACGCTGCTGGGTTTGTAGTGGGGATGAACAATCCAGGCTGTCTTTTAGCAGTCTGGGAAGTGACAAAAAGGGGGTTGGAGTAGTGTGTGCTTGGGTGTAGCGATAGGAGCTTTTATCTGTCATGGGCTTTGCTCCTGGTGGCTCCTAACTCACTCTCTTGCATCCTGTAGGCACTGGGGAGAGTGGGAAAAGCACGTTCATTAAGCAAATGCGTATAATTCATGGCTCAGGCTACTCTGAAGAGGACAAAAAAGGCTTCACCAAGCTGGTGTACCAAAACATCTTCACTGCCATGCAGTCTATGATAAGAGCCATGGAGACCCTGAAGATTCTGTACAAATATGAACAGAACAAGGTAAGCTTCTCAGTTTTTGCACATATCTTTATTCAGTGAGGATTTTGAGTTCTTGTTTGTTCATGTCTTTCTGCATTGCAACCTCAGCGATGCTGAACTCTTTCCTGCAAACTTTTAATGACATTTTCTCGATACCCAACTCCTTTTACTTGGTTGTGTTAAGGGATAGAATAACTTTGCAAGGTTGGTGCACTGGTGTGCCTAGTGAGTGGTTGGAGCAAGGGATTGGGATGCGATGGTAGGGATAGGAGGGGTGTTATTTTTGCTCATTTCAAGGATTCAGGGTTGTTAAATGTGTCAGCATTTTCTTTGCATATGTTGCTGTTCTTATTGGAACTTGAAGCAAAATACGTGCTGGACACAAAAGACACAGACCTATGCTGGTAGCTATCCCTGTTTCTGCAACCCTTCTGTTTTTCTGATAGCTACTGACCAAGAGTACAAACCTTTCTTGAGGAATTTTGGTCTCAACCACAAAAACATACTGATTTTGGAACCAGGAATTAATTTGAGACAGATCTGATCTAAATTATTTTATCTTTTTGAGGGGGAGGACAGTGAGAGTGAGGGCATGCCAGGAAAACAGATGTTTTTTTAGCATATTTTGCTTTTTTTAATACTTAGTATCCTTAATATTTTGAAGTTGTAGTTTATCTGACCTGTCACAAAGTGTCTTGGAGCTGATTTTGAGTAATTGTTTGTAGGGAGTAGATGGTGCCCCTTTCCTGTGTGTGGTGAGAATAGGCAGAGTGTGAGAAAGCTTTGCCTGTGCTTTATGTGAGACATGGTGGAGAGGTTCTGATAAATAAAATCTGCCAACTTCCGCTTACTATAACTTGTGCAGAACTTCAGTTTGGTTTTTATTTACTGGGGGTATTGGCAAAAGCCCCTTGGTGTGGATAATTACCTCACAAACTCCACAGGCTGTACTAGTTACTGTAGTCCTTCCTTTGCTTAGCCATTGTAGGGTGGATGTTTTTATCCCCCCAGTTTTGGTTTTGTTTTTTTTTTCACTTTTTCTCTCTTTACTTCTTCTTTTCAATCTCCAGGCCAATGCAGTGCTGATCCGAGAAGTGGATGTAGAAAAGGTCATGACATTTGAGCAGCCATATGTAAGTGCAATTAAAACATTGTGGAATGACCCTGGAATACAAGAGTGTTATGACAGGAGAAGAGAATATCAGCTTTCTGACTCAGCTAAATAGTAAGTGTACAATCACTGGCATGCTTGTGGTGGGAGTGATGCTCTAGCAGATTATACCTGTCCACATTTTTTTATCCAAGTCCAGAGTTTGTTTCTTTATCATTTGGTGCTTTTCTTGAGAGTATGAGGTGTTCTGGTGGGTGTTAAAAGGTGTTCATATATCTGCTCCAGGATATACATGAGGCCAGAATCTCCACAGTATTCCATCTGTATTGCTCTTGGGCAGCTTGAGTGCTGCTCTTTTTCTTCAGGTTTGTTTCTGGCCTACAGGTGTACATGGATATGTAACTCAGATCTTATTAATTATAAATCCATTAAATTTGGCAATGTACAGAGGATGTTTTATAGTTAAAAGTAAATAACTAACTATGTTTCTACGTTTGTAAGTAGAAAACCTCAGATTTGGTCTTGAAACATAAAGCATCTACTGTGGTTAAACTTCCTCTGTAGTAAAGATTGTCTTCCCCACTCCTATGCAGAGTTGATAAAGTTGTTCTTAGTGTATCTGTTTATCCTCCAAGGGGGCTGACTGGTGAAATACTCATTCCCAAAAATATTATCTGTTAGTTTTCCACACCATATTTAAAATAATTCAGACAACTTCTGCCTTTCTCATTATGCTACAGAAAGACTTCATGTAGCAGTTTTTACACCTGTATATTTATGTGCTGCAACCTAAGGTAGGTTTTTTTTCTTTTTTCTTTGTTTTTTTTTTTTTTTTTTCCACTGTCCTGCTTACAGCTATCTCAGCGATGTGGATCGTATCGCTACCCCAGGATATCTACCAACTCAGCAAGATGTGCTACGGGTTAGAGTCCCTACAACCGGGATCATAGAGTACCCCTTTGACCTAGAGAATATTATCTTCAGGTATTGGAGGTGTCTTCATGTTACAGCTGAACTGAGGCAGCAGGGAGGTGGTTTCAGCAAGGATAAGTTCTGGGTTGCTTTATGTGTCCAGATGGTTTGGGTGGATGTGTGATGGGTGCTTCTCTCACTGGGATGTTTTGGCTGTCAGAAAACTGAACCTGCTTTTGAATCAGTGACACTTCAAACCCAGGGAACCATCTTGGTGTCCTTCCTGGGCAGGATTGCGCTGCTGCCATCTCAGGCAGCTGAGGGATGTGCTGAGAGCTGAAGCCACCAAGGCCTGGCACTTTTTGTGCAGAAAGACTTCCCTGTACCCAGCACCTGCCTTGAGAGCTGGCTTTTTGTGCCTACCTTGTGCTCTCAGGGTGGCACCGAAACTTGCTGCAGCAACAGATGGGCTTTGCAGGCTTAAGCCAGCAGCTGAGCCTGGCATGACCAGGCTGAACACAGCAATATTCCTGTTTCGCTCTGGTGCTCTCTGCTCTTCCCCAATTCCACAGTGTGGCATTGCCAGAGAGGAATGAAGGAACGTGCATCCTCTCCCTTAAACCATTTGGTTGCAGAAAGGCAGAAGTCTCCTCTCCCTGTTGTGTTTTGCTGACCTAGGGAATAGGTGTAGGGTTTTATCAAAGGTGAGCCACGTGTGTGGCACTTCAGGTGAGTGCCAGAATGACTTTAGTGTGCTGTACAGGTGGGACTTGAAACTGAGAGGCTGAAGTGTGTGACTGTTAAACAGCACATTCCAACAAAAGTGTAACGACTAAAGAAAGATTTGAGTGGGGGAGAAGCTTTGAGGCAAGCAGGTGCTTTAATTAAAAATAAAAATAGTTTGCTCATGTGACAGAGCACAGTTTTGAAGGACTTGTCTTTTCAGAGTCAGGGCTGCTGCTGAGCAAACCTGCAGAATGCAACATTCTGTGGCCATTCTTTCAGTTTGGTGTATTTCTAGACGAGAGTATTTTGTAAACTTGCTGGTTTTGTTAACAGGCAGATACTGTCAAATCCCTGTGCCAGGTTAACTGGAATGGTAAAGAGCCAAATTAATCCTCATTGTTTGCTGCTGCTTTGCATTCAGAGAACTGCAGCTACCTCTGTGATACTCTATGTACTTCTCTTCCTTAGAATGGTGGATGTTGGAGGTCAAAGATCAGAACGAAGGAAGTGGATCCATTGCTTTGAAAATGTGACTTCCATCATGTTTTTAGTAGCACTTAGTGAATATGACCAAGTTCTGGTGGAATCGGATAATGAGGTGAGCCAAAGAATGGGAACTCTGCAGGAGGGAGGAAGGAGAGGAGGAAGAAAAGAGGGAGGAATGTCTTTGTAGTTTCTTGAAGGCTGGTACCCAGGTGCTTGGTGCCAAGTTGGATTAGCTACTATTATTGGTTTTGGCCTTCAGTTCTTGTTGCAAAGGGAACATGAGCCTGGACGGGTCATGATGTCCCTGAGGATGGAAAAGGCAGAGGGCATTCAAATCATCTGGACCTCTCAAGTGAAAAATGAAATTATCTGAAATTGCAGAGTCCCTTGTGCCATGGAAGGCACTGTGCAAGTGCTCCCAAATCATCCCTTCCCTTTCCTGCACTTGAGGAACCTAGTGACCTGGCTTACTTCAGGCTTTGCTCTCTTGTGAGGTGGTGACTTCACTCTTTGAAGGTGCAAATCTGAATTTTGGCCCTTGCTAATAGATTAAAATCATGCTATTAGATAACAAGCTGCTCTTTTTCTAGTAGACTAAATATGCTCACAAAGTATCATTGGACACGCCTCTCATGACTGTTAAAGCATAAAATCTAAATTTCAAGTATTTTGATGTGAAAGCTTGGCAAATAAATGAACCTTCAGTCCCTCAGATTTTGCATTTCCTTTCCATTTACTGATCCAGCTTGAACCAGACTCTACCGGGGGCCAAAGTATTTTGTGTACAATGTTTGAGATGCTGAATTACTGCAGATCTGAGTGCATGTGCAGGCAACAGAAAGGCATTTTAGTTTTCCTCTGTGAAAACAGGGCTTTCTTTTTCTGATTTCAGAACCGGATGGAAGAGAGTAAAGCTCTCTTTCGAACCATTATAACTTATCCATGGTTCCAAAACTCTTCTGTTATCCTCTTTCTCAACAAGAAAGATTTGTTGGAAGACAAGATCCTGTATTCCCACCTTGTTGACTATTTCCCAGAGTTTGATGGTGAGTGACTTTTAAGAGGGAACGCTTGATGGGGTGGAGGTGATTTGGTTAAAACTTACTTGTTTTTTAAAGAACACTCTGATCTAGAAGTGGAGTAAACATTAATTGGAGAATGCCTACAGCAATAAGAAAACATCACAAAAAATCTTAATCCTGCATAGACAACTGGAATATGATAGGATGATCAAATAATGAGCCTCTTCTAAATGAAGAATTGCCCCTCCAATATTCACTGCAAAGTATTAAAGAATGGAAGTCTAACTTGTACATATAACCAGTTTCATAAATGTGTAAACCAGTAAACCAGCAGTTTACTGGTGTTCTGGACCTTTTAAGGCTCTAGTCAAGAGGTGACATGAGTCTTTGTTTTGAGAAACTGACTGGTCAAATACCCAAGTTGTTCTAATGATGGTGCTAAAAATTCTTCCTGCAGCTTGAAATTCTTATTAGCGTGCCATCTGCTGTTGTGGGAAAATCATGTCTATGTGAAACAGAGAATTTCCCATCTGAAACAAAACTCCTTAGCCAAAATATTATTTCAGGTTCTTCAGCTGAGTGAATTTAAACCTGGTTGGTAACACACCTGTACAGGGCTGAAAATAAAATCAAAGTGCTGGAGGATGAGATCAGGCCATGCTCTCCTGTATTAATTCCATAATTATTTGCTTAAGAAATACGAGGTAAAGGAAGAATTACCATTTTGCAAACAGCTTTCATCTTTTAAAGGACCAAAGAAATTACTCTTGGTTAGTTGTCCTCCCACATCTGGAGTTCTTGCTTGGAGGTCTGGTGGGAACACCAAGTTTTTCCAGCAGGTTGGGAATGGATGAAGAGCTGCTGCCCAAACAGTGCCTACTTCAAATGACAGCTGGAGACAGATGCCAGCTTCCAGGGGCATTGTGTACTTCCATTTTCTCCTACAAGTAGCTCCTTCAGGGGTGCTGCATGGCCTGTAAGTGAGAGGTTGCCCATCAGATTTCCTCTCAAGAGATGGTACTTGCCATGCAACAGTAGCAGTCCTGTGAAAGAAATTGCAGTAGGTGATTATTTTCTGGGTTCCTGTCACCAATGTGAATTAAAAACTGGCCAAAATTCTCATTTTTAGCTCCTGTGAGGTGACCAGCTGGATCAGACTGACTGTACTTCTGGCTGGCATTAACCCTTGTTTCCAAAATACACATTTGTGTCTTTCAGCCTGTGAGATCCACCTGTATATTAGGAAGAAATTTACACCCCCTTTCCATGGGAGGGCATTTAATGGTGTCTGTCCAGCATCTGCCACTGCTACCCAGTGGATGCTCCCACCCAGGGTTGTTCCAAGGTCTGCATTCCAAAGCAGGGTCTGAACTGACCCATCAGGGTCTGCAAAGTGCCCAATGCCCTTATGGGGTTTGGTTAGACAGCTGAAAAGCATAAGACACTTCAACTCTTGGAACTTTTATCCTATAAATGATCTTAATTTCTTCTTGAAAGCTCCATAACCCACAGGAAAAGTGCTGATGGGTCAGTTGGTGGATGTGGGGGATGCCTGGGAGTGAATCCATTCACTGGTGTCTCTGTTTGCTGCAGGCCCACAGAGGGATGCACAGGCAGCCCGCGAGTTCATCCTCAAGATGTTTGTGGATTTAAATCCCGACAGTGATAAAATCATCTATTCCCATTTCACATGTGCCACAGACACAGAAAACATCCGTTTCGTCTTTGCAGCTGTCAAGGACACCATCCTACAGCTCAACCTGAAGGAGTACAACCTGGTTTGACCTGCTCTGCTCTTGCCCCTTGAGAGGCTTCTTTGTGAAGAAAAGACAAAAAATGAAATTTTAAATATGACAGGAAAAAAAAAAAAAAAGTTTTAATTTTTGATGATGTAATGATTGCAAATTGTCTGATCTGTGGAGTGGCAAGTGCTCGGTGTTATCCTGGAGTCTCATGTCTCTGTCCACAGAGTAGTTGATTTCATATTTTTAACAAATTGCTTTTATGTCACAGTTAACGGGGATATGCCTCATTTCTTCAGCACCTTGCTTACTTCTTAATTTTTGCCAAGCAGCTAAGGCAGCCTCATCTTGATCTTTCCTTTGTTGCTAAGCCACCTTTTTTTTTCCCCCCCTTTCATTCCCGTGGTATATGTAGAAAAAAACCAAAAATCCCCAACACTTTCCAGCTGAGATCGTGAATTCACTGGACTGTGGGAGTGCAGAATGCTACTGGTCCCTTTGCCTTGTGCTAGAGGGTGCCTCTGGTGTAATTTGCTAATCCTGCTTCCTTCCCCTCCTTCTTTCCTTTCCCTTCCCCAGGACACGCTCCATGGTTCACTGTGATGAAATGTTGGGGAGGAGCAATTGCTCTCCAACTATTGTGCAAAAAAAAAAAAGAAAAAGGCAAAACAAACAAACAAAAAAAGCCATCACTTTTCCATTCTTTATATGTTCTGAGTAATTTTTTGTTATCAATTATAAAAGGTATGGAGACTGTGATTTTTTTTTTTTTAAATTATTGATGTTCTATACATAGTTTGCTATGTGTTGCTGTATTTTGTTCATGGACTACAAATGATGGAAGCTCTTGGAGCAATAGCTGCTGAGCCTGGGGAAGTGCCTGACTGTAATTGTTCTTTATTTTATTTCATTTTTATTTCTTCTTTTTTTATTTTTTTTTCTCCTTTTCCACACACATAAACACATCCCACCCACACCACAAGCGCATGGCCGTGTGCGCACAAGGCTCAGTCTGCAGAGAGGAACTGTTTTGTTGGATAGAGTTTTTGATATCAATCAGCAACTTCTCTATGCAGCAGTTACCAAAAGCACACTGAGTGATTGTGCCATTCGAACATCAGACTTTGCCTGGATTGAAAACCTTAGTCCCGTGCCATCCTCTAGGTCTTTCCTTGCTGCCTCGTAGCAATCAAGCCTTGTTTTATTGCATTTTGTGCCAGTGTGTGAATGACTTTGTAAGAATTCCTCAGCCTTGTCCAGCTTGCAGAGTTTCAGAGAGGACCAGAGCTGGAGGGTGACAGGCTCTGGTAGGATTCTTACTAGGGGAGATTGAGGATAGCTCTTGGAGGGAGCAGCAGTTGTGTCTCTCCCATTTCTGCATTCCCCTGAGGCACACGCTGCTGTGTCCCTCTTTGGAGGAGTATGGGATCCTCTTTGGAAGACTTGCACACATCCTTGCTCCAGGGTGCCTGTGATCACTGTTAGCTGCTGCAGAATCCAGAGAGCCCTGCCCTGGCTGCTGCTGGTGCAGCAGGAGAGGAGAAGAGAGGCAGCAGCACTTGCTGGAAGGCAGAGGGGATGTAGTTCTGGATTCTGAATGCCTCCTGAATCTCCACTGAGCAGGAGGAGGTGAAGCCTTTGCCCTTAGGAGAGCTTTATTTTCCAGGAGCTGAGGCAGGTCCAGGTGCTGGAGGGCTGCTGCCAGCCTGGGAGAAAGAAGTGCATCGGCAAGGCAGGGAGAGAGAGAGAGGGAAGCAGGAGATGTGACCCACGTCTGGACGTGTGTCAGTCAGCCATCACTGATGCTTCTGTTTCAGTTCCAACGAGTAGCATTGGGTCCAAATTCTCTGGATCAACCAGATTGCCCCCTTGAAGGCTGCCAGTAGAAAAAAGACTAAATGAGCTGCACTGTTGAAGGGGGCTGTTGATATTTTGTCTCTTTTGTAGACAGAGCACTACATCAGTGTTTTGCACAACATTGTAAGAGTAAATCTATCTGTCTGAGATGCTTAAGATGCTTTGATCTAGAACACTAAACTATGGAGGGGACATAATTTTGAATAATTCTGTTGATGGGTCCCTCATTTTCCCGAGTAGCTGAGCGAAGCCTCTGTGGGCTCAGAGCACTACAGAGCAAAGCAAGCTCTGCTCCAAGTGATTACAGAGCTCTAGTTGGAACAGTAGCCATGGGACCAACAGCTGAAGAGCCAGTCTGAGTGGTGATGCTGAGGGAAACGTAGCATCTCTTTAGACTAGCCATGCTCTGGACTGCATTTAACCCTTGGGAGGAATGAGAGGGATTCCCATGTGTCAGACAGCTTTGCATCCATTTTACTGCTTTTTTTTTTTTTTTTTTTTTTTTTTTATCTTTATGCCAAAATGATCCAGTTTGTAGAAATTGTCTTCTAAAAAGGAATTTATAATCATCTTCATGTATTCTAAGTGCTGTTCCTCTGAAGCAGACGGCAGCACCAGCCTCTTCCGCTTCTGTGATCCTTTTGTAAATGGTTCACACTACAGCTGTTGCCAGCAATGAGCTTGGCACTGATAAACAGCTTCTTGGAAAATGACTTCCCAGAAGTTTCTCTTTTCCAAGGTGAATGATGGTGGTACTTCCACTTGAATCAGAAACTTTTTTTCGTCTTGTTTTGTACCTTCCCCTTTCTTTAAGAGCTGCTGCCCTGGCACAGGAGGAGGGATCTTGGCATCTGTCTCTTGCAGAGTGACTCTGCATCGTGGCAGGCAATTGTGGGAGGCTGTGGGCACAAGGATTTAGGAAATGTGCTGTACCTTGTGGGGCACCTGCTTGGGGAAGCTGTTGGCCTGAGAACTGGCTCAGGGCAGGGAGGGAAGGGCCGAGTGTTGCTCAGTGGCTCTCGTTGAGTTCCTGCAACCTCCTCCTGAATTGGGGTAGGAATGGGTCAGACCTGTACACATCACCTGGAGTTGTCTGTGACTGTATCATGTGAGGAGATACCAGTTGTTAGCATGTGCTTTCCTTAGTAAGCAGCTGCTTGTGTGCCTCCAGCTTGGCCAGTGAAGTGCTCCTGCAGAACTGGCTCCTGTCTCTGTTGGCTGGCAAATGCCTGCCCTAGCAAAAGTGCCAAACCTTAAAACCAAATTTGCCTGTATCAACCTTTCTGAAAGCGAGGCCTGTCAGAATTCTCTGCAGGTTGAGAGTGACTTTCAGAAGAGAGGTAAAATTGGGTTGTTGTAGGGAATCTAGAGTCTGAGGAGTTGGTCTCCTTGCTAACCTCTGCTCCTTGTGTACTTTTAATCTTTGTTCTGTTAAAGAAACCATCATACTTTGAACCAGTTTGAAACTTGAAGTCAGTGAGCAGAGGACCATCCCTTTTCCTTGCACCATTCCATGTGGATTGGCTACCTGGTGAGCAAAAGCCCCTTCCAGCTGCAGCGTGTCAGCTCCTGCCCTTCCTGCCTCCCCCCTTCTCCTCGAGTTGGATTCTTTGGTCTCTTGTTGTTGCTTCCTAGCAATGTTGGCCTTGCGTTCAACTATGGTTTTTCTTCCTGTGTTTTATTGGTTAAAAAAAAAAATAAAATAAAAAAGACAAAAAAAAATTAAAAAAAAAAAAAGACAAAAAAAAAAAAGTACTTCCAGAGTGTGCTGACCATTGTATTGTCCTGTACAGAGCCCAGGTCGTTAGAGTCCAGCAGAGATAAAGTGTGTTATGCAGCACCCAGTTTTTTAAGAGTATGGTTTGTGCCAATGCCCCTTCTTTAGTAGTGCCAGAGACTCTTTACAAGTGCCAATGTGGTGGAAATTATTTGGTTATACTTGTATATTATAGGATCCTGATTTAAGACAATTTAAACATTATCCTATTTAAAAAGAATACTATATAAAATGCTGTTTTTAAACCTTGTCATTTGCAATGCATGTATTGTTGTGCGTGTTGGGGGGCGGGGAGGGAAGAGGGTGGGGTAAAGGAGTTTCTGAATAAGATGCCCAGTGTCAGGATCTATTCAGACTCCAAACTGTCTCATTCCAGTCCAGGAGTGTGATTGTTTCTTGGAATGATCCCACTCTGACTGCTGGGCAACACGCTTATTACAGAAATATCTGATGGAAATTGATTTTCATATCTTTCTCCTGAAATAAACTCTCTGTTTGAAATTGGAATAAATTTTGTTCCTAAAAGCCGTGGTGGTTGTGTGTGTGTTTCTTCTCTCCTGTCTTCCCCTCTCCTTCTCCTCCTGCAGCTGTGCCTCCTGTCAGAAAATCAGGACTCTGAGGCATAGAAACAAATGTTTTGGTAAATAGAAGGTATAACACACCATAATTATATATTATGCACTGTACCAATAATTCTGAAGCACGAGCAGTGTCTGACTGGGGGTTTAAGGTGCAGAGATGCAATGGTGGCATCTTGATTTGAAGTTTTCCAGGATTTTGGGGTAGGATTTCTAAGGGAAGTTGTTGGTGTTTGCTGCTGCCTCTTGCTGTGGTGTCGGCCCGTTGCAGGCACGGTTCCAAGCAGGATCTCTGTTGCCAATATCAGGAATGTTGGTGGAACCAGAACTGCTTCCAGTCTTGTCTGTTAGAAATGTGGACTGAAATATGAAACGTGGCTTAAAATTGTCCCTTAAGGAGTCCAGGGCTGGATGACTGTGAAAACTTCCACAAAGCCATTTCCTGAGATGGAGTTTATAGAGCTTAATTCCTTTTCTCTGGGCTCATTCTCCAGGAATGTTGCATTAAATCAGCTGGGAGTGGGTAGAGATGGCCAATTTCCTCTATGCAAAGGTTTCCTGTGTTTTCAGGAAGCTGCAGCTGAGGATGTTCTGCTCCCTTTGAGGTCACTTAGCGCAGGTGAAGCTGCAGCTCCTGGGCAGCCTGAAACATTCTGTTGTCTCCCACCAGGAAGGGAGCAGTGATCTGGCAGCCAGAGCACTGGCAAGGGCTTCAATTGTCACTTTTTTAGTTATGGGTGAGTTTTTATTGCTTTTCTCAGTGGCTGTGTCCCCTCACAGCTGAGGAGCAGCTCCCTGTTCGTGTCCTCGGCTCCGTGAGTCGCGTTTTGTGCTGCTCTTCGCAAAGAGCCAAATCTTTGTTTAAATAAAGCAAAGCAACAACTTGAGGCTCTTCCAGGAAAAGATGAAGCCTTTAACACCCAGTATTCCCAGCTGGCCTCGTGTTTTGGCCTTTTGCAGCCCCCAGGTGTGCGTGGGGCTGTCCCTGGAGCGTGGCAGTGGAGGAGCAGGAGGCTGGGGCAGCCCAGGGAAGGCGGCAGATGGGAGCCCATGCAGGAGGCTCACAGTTGCTGCTTTCCCAAGGAGCACTCCAGCCCAGGCTGGATAAAGTGTTCCCAGCAGCTCAGAGAGCTCCTCCTCACCAGCTCCTCACCCCAGAGGCCCTTGGCTCCTTCAGTCCTCCTGTGCCCATCCTGCAAGGAGAGGTCTTGGGAGCACGGGAGGCTGTGGCATGGGGCCACCTGCCACTGCCTGGAGCGTTCCTGTGGCCTGCAGCCTGCTCCACAGGGAGGGACAGCAAAGCAGGGCTGCCCCAGCTGGGCTGGGGGCCAGGGGAGTGTCCTGATAAAGTGAGCTGAGCCAGGGTTGTGGCAGGGCTGCAAATCACTTTAGACCTGGCCTCTGGACGTCCCTGCCAACACCAAAGCAGGTGCTTGGGGTTGTGCACACAGGTAAACCAGACATGAAAGAAATAATTTTTTGTATTTTTCATATTAAAAAAATCCCATATGCAAGAAAAGGGCAAAGAAGAGAGAGTTTGGGATTTGCCTTGTCCTTGGACAAACATCATCCTCCCAGCAGGAGGAAGCTCTTTCCTTTGAACATCCCCTTTGCCCTCTTGGGAAGAGAGGGAAGTGTCTGTCCAGCATAAGAATAAAATGTCATTTGGAATTTATAAAGCAGGAATATAAAGTCTCCCTCCTGCAGTTCAGGTTTCTCCCCTGTGTTATCCTGATCCCACACAGGACTCTGAAGCTGATGTGCAGCTCAGGAGCTCGGGACCAGCTTGGCCTGTGGAATGGCAGCTGCTGTTGGAACATTTCTGTCAAGAGCTCCTCGAGCCCTGGGCTTAGCGAGGGCTTGTTCCAACCCAAGCTGCTTCCTGTGTGCTCTCCCAGTGATACCAATTTGGTATAATTGTCCTCCAGCTGCTTTATCTCCTGCCATGCAGCCTGACCAGGAAGTTAAGCCTCCACAAGCAATTTTTGTAGCATCTCCACCACCATGGGTGGAGAACTGATGACTTTTGAAGAGTTTTTGTGGCTCCCATGCTGGACTGTGTGACAAAGCTTGGGTTGTGTGAAGCTTCTGGGTAACCCCAGCTGCTGAGCTGGGTGAGGATGTGGCTTGTCAGGGACCTCAGCTGCTGCCCAGGGCTGTTCTACACCCCTGGCCAAGTGCTTTTATTCATCCCTGGCCACTCCTGTGCACTCACTGCTCCTGGAGCTGCTCCTCCCTTCATCTCAGGTGAGTATCTGTAGCTCCTGGCCATGGAAATAAATGGTGTTTTTATGGAGCTCCCCAAAGACAGGTCTCTCCTGCTCTGCTGGTTCCCATCCTCCCTCCCAGGGACTCAGGCCTTCAGTCTCCAGCTCTCCAGGAGGTGACAGACTTTGCACAGAAGATGCAGGATGAGAACTGGGAAATTCTGGGCAGGATTTGGCAGCCTCAATAGAAAAGAAGTCTCTGCTCAATGTCAGCTTTGCAACCCTTGATTCAGAGCAGATTAAATGATGTAAAGAGCCCTGGGGGAAAGAGGTTTCCTTTCCACAGCTCAGCCATGAATTTGCTTCCAAACTGCAAGAGGGAAGTTTTTTTGGATGGGTTTGGAAGTTGTTTAGAGATAGAACCTTCAAGAACACACCCTGTTGCCAACCCAAAGAGGGCACTCTGGGCATGGAAAACTCAGCAGAATTGTGCTAGAGGTGCTTTCCTCGTGCATCATCACCCACAGCAAAAACCACTGATAACTCTGCTCAGATGCAGCTTTTCTTAGTCAGGTGAGTGACCTGGGGACTTTTAGACACTTTGAATTATAAGGTTTGGAAAATATTTGGAGTCTTCACATCTTGAGCCTTGTGTTTCATATCCAGCGCTGCCACAGATGTTGGAATGGCCTCTGACAAGTCACCTTTGGACAGAGGTGAGCAGAAGGAAAGGCAAACACTCCCCAGAAGTGTGTTTTTGTCAACGAAATCCTAAACATCTGACGGAAGTGTTTGAGCTCCTCTTGCTGGGTCTCTTGCCAAATCTCCAGATTAATTTCCTCAGGTTGCAATATTTTTAAGCTCTATTGTAGAAGAGGCAGGGGTTTATTTTTTTTTGTCTTAAACCATGACATGTAGAAATAAAATATTTACTGGCTGTGAGGCCATGGTGGGACAGTGTGGTTCCTCTCTTTGCTGCCAGCTTCACATTCAGTGTGCCCTGATGAACATCTGTGAGTGACAGAGGTTGCACTGGGGGGAAGATGCTGGTTTTGTGTGGAATGGCAACCAGAGGTGAGATGGGGTAGAATTGAGAGAGGCTCATGGTGGAAAGGAGGTGATGGAGTGAGGAAATCCCCTGAACTATCAGCTTGGAGCTCCCTGGAGGGAGTGAGGAGAGCCCCTGCTCTGAAATCCGGACTAGACATCAGTTCTGGAGGTTTAGATGGCACAGAAAATGGAGGCCATTGGTTGGGGTAGAAACCTCCAGCTTGGGATTCAGCAATTTGAGCTGTGGCTTTCTCCTGAGCTGTTCAGGACTGGAGCCAGTGGCCCAGAGAAATCCAAATTGCACCAGGAAAAAGGCTTTCACATGTTGAGGAGATTTATTGTTTTTATGTGTTCCCATGACACTGGAGCTACAGAAGAGGGGAGAGAGGAGGCAGCAGTTTCAGAGGTAGGGACAGCAGTAGTGAAGCAGGAGCTGGAAGTGTCCTCCTTGGAGCTTGGACACCCAGATGTGTGGTGTCACAAATGACAGACAGGGAGGAGGCTGCTCTTTGGATCCCTCTGATCTCATTGTGCAGCCTTCCCCTGAGGGTTACAGACATCTCCCCAGCTCCTGGAACCTCTCTGGGCTGTCCTGCTGCTCCCTCTCCGCAGCTGGAGCCACAGAGGGCTCGGTCAGGGCAGCAGGGAAGGAGTGCAGGCTCTCCCCATGTGCGCAGGGGACAAACACAGCCGGGGCACAACCTCAGTGCCAGCCCCACCACGGACACAGCTCGGCTTGGCCACAGAGAAGTCCTTGCCACATCCACAAGGAGCACTGGGAGTTGTTTTCCAGGGAGAAAGGGAAAGGAAGCTGGTGAGGACGGGGCTCTGGAGGGTGAGCTCTGCAGGGGGAGCAGGGTCACGCTGACTTCATGACGCTGTTGACCCAGGGGAGGAAAGGAGCGATGTGTGTGTAGAAGCCAGGCCAGTTGTTGTGTCTGTAGGAGAAGATGCCATAGGCTTTGTTGTTGCAGACCAGCGGATCCCCAGCATCACCCTGTGGGAAGGAAGAGAGATCAGCGCTGGGTTATGGGAAGGAGTGCCTTTGCAAAGAACAGGGAGGCTGCAAACACCAGCACAGAGCTCCCCCAGCAGAGGCCTGGACTCACAGAGGATGGGGATAACTCTGCCTCCACAAGGGACTGGTGGCAGCTTTGTCAGGGACACAGCTGGGGGAGCACTGAAGCTTCATTTCTGCCCTTCTGCTGGCTTCAGATACGAAGCACACTCAGACCAACAATGAGATTCAGGGTGAACCCCTCTGGCCAAGCCATTGTCCCCCTGCTGACTCCCAGGTCCTGTGCCACGGCAAGACAAGGTTCCTCTTCTCCCTTGTGCTTTGCGCCTGGGTAAAACCTCCCCCTCAGCCTCCTCCTCCTCCCTGACCAGAGACTGACCTTTTCAGGTACCCCAGAGGATCTGCTGCGGCCACAAATCAAGTTGTCAGCGAGTCCTGGGTAGTGGCTGAGGCAGTCCCTTTGCCTGATGACGGTGACAGTGGCCTCACGCAGGGTGACAGCGGCTGTCCTGTAGCCCCAGCCAGCCACGCTGCACTCGCTCCCACCACGAACTTTGGATTTCTCAAAGGAAATGGGCCTGACGTGGCCGTTGATGGTGGCATTGCCATTCAGCTGGGCAAGGGGACAGGAAACACAGAGTGTTTGGCCTGGAATCCACTGTCCCCTCCTGCTCCAGGGCTGCAGCTCAGCTCTGCAATCAGGGCCAGGTTACCTTCAGCAAAAGGATGTCATTTCCCTTCTTAGGGCTTGTAAAACCCGGGTGGCAGTGGTACTCCTTGACCTCGAAGGTTTGCCAGCTGTCCTCTCTCCTCTGGAGCGTGTGGGCTCCCAGGATGACAGTCAGAGGTTTGTGGCTGGTGAAATCAAGCACAGTGGGTGTCACCAACTTGTCCCTGTCTTGCCTGGGAGCACTGAGGCTCATCTCCCAGGAGAGTCCAATGACACAGAGAGAGTGTATATACATTCCCTACACACAGAATATATTATACATGCACTTTTTAAGAAGAATGGTGGGAGCAAGGGGCTCTGCCAGCAAATCTGCCCAGTCAAGAGGCAGAGCAAACTCCCACCTGACAGAGCAGAGCTCTGCAAGGGCTCCTTTATCTCCAGACCTGAAGCGGGGCACATTTGCTCCAATGCTGCTGCTCTCTTTTTCTGGGCTTCACAGGCCCATGGAAGTCCAGGGATTTCTAAATCAGGATACTTCTCTGTCCTCTACATCACCCACAGAAAGTGCTGCCTCAGGAAGGTTGGAAAGGACCTTGGGTATGTGCAGGAGTCCCTCCCAAGCTCCCAGGTCAGGCTCAGGCCTCCAGGCTCCTGGGTCCTCCCTTTTTCTGCCCAGGAGTGGGGACTGGCCCTGAGCCTGTCACTGGCACCAGGACAGAGCTGTCAGCCCTGAGGTGTGTGGGAGCTACACCCAGAGCTGTGCACATCTGGAAAAGTCCTCCTGCCCTTCCATACCCCAGCTGGATGGGTGGAAAAGGGCTGGGCAAGCAGCTGTCTCATAGCAAATAATTCTGCCAACAAACAAGTTGGTGGCAGAAAGGACAAAGCCTGACAGCAGGTCAGTGCCAGCAAGGGAAGAAGCCACTCTGACCTCCCATTGTTGACATCTGGGAAAACTAAAAGTCACAGAGCGGGGGAAAAAGTCAGGGTAGATATCTGAGGGTGGGCTGGGGAGGGAGATGGGGCTCAGAGCTGTCCCCGAGCCGTGCCCTGCCCTGTGCTGCCCGCCAGGGAAAGAGCCTGGCCACGGCTGATGTGACCCCAGCAGTGAGACCCCCATGCAGGAGATGCTCCCCAGGCTGTGGTGGAGCAGACAGCTCGCTGCAGGGGCTGTGTGGACACAGCAGGACTTACACGAGGCACTGAGCCGCCGTCATCACCCAGCCGGGGGCCACGAGGAAGCCCCCGCAGAAGTTCTTGTCCTTCCCCTGCAGGTAGGCCATGTAGGGTGTGGGGTGTGCCCTGGAGGCTTCCTTGGCTTCTCCTCCTCTCTCCTTCCACTTCCAGGAATAATCTGCAATGGATGGGGCTGGGGATGAGGGGTTTGGGGGCCACAGGGCTGAGATTCATCCTTCCCCAACCCTCTCCTCACCTCCAGCCCACTCTACTTACTGGTGCTGGCTGGGGGGCACATCACCAGCAGGAGGGACAGCAGGAGAGTCTGCAGGTGCTCCATCACAGCCTTCTGGGCTTCAGTGGATCCCTTAGAGGTGGGGCTGCGTCTGGGGTCTCGTCCTGCTCCCAGCAAGGTTTTATAGCCTGAGACCAGACTCCAGGAAACCACAGAAGTCAGAGTCATCTGCAGAATCTCTCCACGAGTTGCATGTCTCAGCAATGAGAGAGGGGAATTCAGTCTTGGCCTTGGGCATCAACCCACCTCCATCACGGGTCTGATCTGAGGGATCTGATGTCCTTCTGAACCCAGAGCCAATTTTAGAACTTGGTGGTTGTTCTGGAAGCTGTGGCCAACGCACCCAACCTCATCTCTTTGACTTCCAGGGAGGTCTTCCCTTGCAGCTTCTATTCTTCAAGCTTCTTGAGCACTTCCAAACCCTCTTGATTTTTATCATGAGCCCTACACGAACAAGACTTCTTTCACCTGATGCACCAGTTCCAAAGACCATGCAGTGGCAGATGAGGTCTCTCAGTAGCTGCAGTCTTGGCTAATGGAGCAAAATTGTCATTAACGTGTTTATAACATGACACTGATGATACTGGGAAGAAATCCTTCCCTGTGAGGGTGGGCAGGCCCTGGCACAGGGTGCCCAGAGCAGCTGTGGCTGCCCCTGGATCCCTGGCAGTGTCCAAGGCCAGGCTGGACGGGGCTTGGAGCAGCCTGGGATGGTGGAAGGTGTCCCTGCCATGGCAGGAGTGGGATGAGATGATCCCTAAGGGCCCTTCCAGTCCAAACCATTCTTGGACTTTACGGTATGAGCGGACTTTGAACTGTCACAGTTCAGCTGTGACGAAATGGGGCCGATGCTTTCTTGCTGCCCTCACTGCCAGTAAATCTGCTTTCCCCCTTCCTCCAGTGCCACTGGGTAAACCCCAACTTTAAGCTACAAGTTGCCATTCTCGTGCAAAGCCTGCAGCAGCTGGAGCTTCAAGGAAAACCCTGACGTGATAAAGATTCATAATGCACAGATAAGCAGCTGCAGCTTGTTCACTTGCAGATTTCTGAGCTGATAGCAGCTGTGAGCAGAAGCCCAAACATGGACCCTTCTCAGTTTCCCCAGGGCAGCCTGGGTGCTGAAGGCAGAGGTGACGCAGTTTCCCTTCATCCCAGGCAAGAACGTGGAGGATTTGTGAGCAGAAATCCAGTCTGGACTGTGGAAACCTCCTCCCTCTGATGGGGATGACCAGTGGGAGAGACTGGGAAAGACCATGAGAGCAGGGCAAGCACCCCCTTCCCCTGGACTGCAGACAGTTTTCGTATGTTTGAAATTCCCCACTGGTTTTTCCCACCACAAACCGAGTCAGTCTCCCCTTGACATCACAGACACCCTTCACCCCCTGCCAGGGAGCTCTGCACTCACCCAGTTACCAGAGCATCATCTCTGTCCCCCGTCATCTCCCCCAGGGAACTCTTGGCTCTCTGTACACAAGAGATGCCACCAGAAACGAGCTGGAATGAAGATGAGGGCTCAGAGAGCAGCCTGCTGCAGGCCATGGAAGGAAGTTCAGACTCCAATGCAGGAGCTGTCTGAAAACAACCCTCGAGCATCCTTTGTGGGGAGGATTTGTCTTTGGGCATCATCAGCTGAGGGGAGAGGTTTGGGCTGGCACTAGGACAGCCTCTGGTCAGGGAGATGAGGATGTGCCAAGCAGCTCCACAGCAGCCAGCCAGGACTCGTCCTCACCTTCTCCAGGGACCCCGCTGGGCCCCCGCGGTTACCACGGGAGGAAAGGAGGAAGTGGCTTTAGGGTCAGGCACTTTTGTGAACCCAGGTCCTTCATCAACCCTTTAGTTCAAGCCTTTCTAGCCAGGACATGGTGCAGAAACAGGGATGGACTGTGGCTGCTGGCAAGAGGCAAAGCCTGGGAGCAGTGTGACAGCTGGGGCTTGGGGTGTGCCTCCTCTCCAGGATCCTAAAGCCCTGAACCCGGTGTCTTAACAGCCACCTGCCTACACCCAAGGGCACAGTCCACAAGAAGTCCAGCTCTCTCCACCCAGTGAAGCCTCTTGCAGCTCAGACAGCTGGAAGATAAGCCAGGTGTGCCCTGTGACCGCGCTGTCCGGGCTGCACTGTGCCCTGGCTGCAACACTTCAGAGGGAACAGCCTCTGCTCTGCAGAGAACGACGAGTCCTGCTCGCTGCTGATGCCCCCAGCTTGCTGCCTGTGCTCCCAGGAGGGTGACAGCCATGCTGAAGTTGGTGAAGGGAGTGTGTGCCCATCATTTTTCCCAGAACATTTCTACCTGGGCAGTTTTTCTCCTCTCAGCACACTCTCTACCCCAGGAAGGGCAAGCATACCTCTCGTTTCTGAGCCTGCCAGTGACTCAGGATGCAGAGCTGGGATTGCTGCTGTCCCAGCAGCCAGACCCCCCCTCCTGCTCTCTGTGGCAAGGCCACGAGGAAGACAACACACGCTGGGAGATGCAGCTTTGAGTTTACTGTGGGTGCTTTAAGTGCAGCAAGGTTCAAGCAGGAACAGGGTTATCTCTGAAGGAAGTGGGGTCTGTTGTGGCACAGCCTCTTTTTGTGCCATCTGGGGCTATCCCTGCTTCTGCCAGGGTGATTTAACACAGCCCTGAGACGGGCAGGGAATGGCACAGGCAGCAGCCTCAGAACAGAATGAAGGGGGCTCTCAAGTGCACTGATCAAATCACTTGGGTTCCCAAGGAGAGAAGAGGGAGTTGAGCCCTCAGCAGGGGCAGGAGGGAAGCTATTGCGGTCTCCAGAGCCACACCAGAGCTGGAGAAAGTGCTGCCACTGTCGCTACTTCTTCATGACTTTTTTGATCCAGGGCAGGTAGTTGGAGATGCGTGTGTAGACCCCGGGTGGGGAGTCATAGCCAAAGGAAACAACACCTTGTGCCACTTTATTACATACCAGGGGCCCACCAGAATCTCCCTGGGGAGAGAGGAGATTGATTTTAGAGGCCTCTTCCCTGTGGTAAAGGGTTTCTCCCAGGTCCCTCCCTGCCCTGTGGCTCCGTTCCTGCCCCATATCCCACCCGGCTGAAGGGGCTGCTGAGCTGGGGCTCTGCCCCTGGCGCTGTGCAGGGACTGTGGCTGCTGCCAGCACATCCAGAGAGCCAGTCCTCATGGGAAGTGTGACCAAGTGCTTGTCACCTGCCCCAGGAGCTGGCTGTGCCAGCAGCAGCTCCTGCTCCCCGTGTGCCCTCCCCATACCTGGCTGGAATCCTTCAGCTGGTGGAAGCTGCCTGCACAGACCATGCCAGAGTCCAGGTGTGGGTAGAAGAGGACGCATTTCCTGCGGCTGTAGATGGAGACTTTGGTCTCAAAGAGTTTGTTGGTGGCCCTGTCCTCATCGATCAGACCCCAGCCGGCGATCAAGCACTTGGTGCCCGTGGGGAGGTCACTGCCGCTCTTGGGCAGTGGGATGGTCTGGACGTAGTCATTGAGAGTGGCCTTGGATGTTAGCTGGGGGAAAGCAGGGGGTTGAGAGAGGGCTGTGAGCAGGAGACTTTCTTTGCAGAGACAGGGAGGGTCTGGCAGGCTCTGCAAGCTCCGGGGAGCTGCTGTGAAAGTCACACGAGGCTTCAAACCCTGCCCGTGGCTCCTTCCCAGCTCCCTGCCAGCCTCCAGCACCTTGGGCAGAAGCAGCTTTGCAGAAAGAGCAAACAGCCCAGTCCCTGGCAGCCCCACAGCCCCTCTGCCCCCTCAGAACTCCTTGCCTGGAGCAGCATGATGTCGTTGTACATCGTGCTGGGGTCGTATTCAGGGTGCTCGTGGTACTTGAGGACTCCCCGGACCTGCTGGCTTTTTTCTGGTTCACGGATGTCGTGAGCCCCCAGGATGACTGTGATATTCCTGGCCATGGCAGTGGAGGGGAGAAAGGGGAAATCAGGCTGGCTGTCACCCACCTCCCTCATTTTGGCAGACAGGTGGAGAGAGCTGCCCAGCACAGCAGGAACCTGCTCCAAAATTGCTCCGGGGAAGGAGCTCCCAGGCTAGGGGAGAAAGAAGGGGATAAAGCCCCTGTATCAAGCACTCACCCCATGCAGTGTGCAGCTGACATCACCCAGTCAGGGGCCACCAGGAATCCCCCGCAGGCCCCCAGCCCCGCTATCTTCAGGTACGCCATGTACGGGTGGGAGTGGGGCCGCGCCTCGTGGCCCCCCACAATCTGATCCCGCAGAGCTCCTGCAAGACACCCCAGCACAGGTGAGCCAGGGGCTGCTGAGAGCCCAAACGAGCTATCCCCACTCCCAGCCAAGCCCTGACTCACTGGCACTGGCCCACGGGCAGCAGAGCAGGAGCAGCAGGGCCGGCAGTGGCCAGGACTGGCGCATCTCTGGCACAGCTGGACGCTCCTCCCCAGATGTGTGGAGGTCTTGAGTTTCCCCGTGGGCAGGGGCTGGTTTTATAGACTGGAGGCAGCTGTGCCCAGCAGGCAGGAAACCGTGTGCAAGGGGCTGATTGTGCTGATCAGGGCATGGCTGGCCTGTGCCCGTGGCTGTGATTGAGGGGCGACAGCGCAGCACGGAGAGGCCAGGGCAGAGAGAGCCTGGTACGCCACAGCCACAGCCTCAGGGGTGCTGGCAGCAAGAGAGAAGTGTCCTGTGGTGGTTTTGAGGTGTTATTTAACATTTCTACCACATTTTCCATTTAATGTTTTTGCCTTGAGGAAATGCAAGGTTCAAAAAAAAAAGCCGCTTAAAAAAAAAAAAAAAAAAAAAAGAGACAACCAACAAAACTTTGCCATTTAAAGTCATGAATGTGGTCTAGAGGAGATAATCCTGAAAGCTGCTCTTTCATATTCCTGTTTTCCCTCAAGAGATGCACTGCAGAGCCTCTTTTCCTACAGAGATCCACCATCACCACAACCCAATTTAAATGAAAGGGCACCCAGGCACAACAACTGTGCCTGGGACAGTTTTTGAGCACTGTGAAAAGTCAAATCTGCAGGGTTTGGTGTCAGCCCAGGTCAGAGGGGCCTTGCTGCTTCTTCTTGGCTCCTCTGGGGCCAGGAGGATCCTGCCAGCTTGGGAAGACTGGGATGTGGGAAGTTCTGCTCTGCAGCAGAAGAGACTGAAGTGGGGAAGTGCAACCACCCAACTGCCAGGAGTGATCAGTCATTTTTAAACCAGCCCTGCTCCACCCTTCCTGGAG